TCAAGAACATTTGAACAGAAGGGAAAATACTTCAAGAACATTTGAACAGAAGGGAAAATATTCCAAGAACATTTGAACTGAAGGGAGAATATTCCAAGAACATTTGAACAGAAGAGAAAATATTCTGGAGAACATTTAAACAGAAGGGAAAATATCCGGAGAACATCTTAATGAAGGGAAAAAACTCCAAGAACATTTGAACAGAAGGGAAAATACTCCAAGAACATTTGAACAGAAGGTGAAAATATTTGATCAGCAAACAATATGGATAAAATCAGGAAAACGACTTGACTTTTAATAAAAGTGCCCGAGATGTTTAGGAAGCCCCTCCTCCTCCCTTTTCTGCCGTGTAATTAAACCACGTCTTCAGAGCGTTCTCATTATATCCTGCAGGCCGTCACCAGCGACTGCAGTAAATTCATTTTTTTTTCAGTTTCTCTTGTGAGCGAGAAAAACGTTTTATCGTCCGTCAGTCACCTCGGACTGAGCCGGGATTAAAACACCTTCAACTTTTTTTTTTTCCTGCAATTTTTCTGCCTCCGTGACTCCGGACTCCACTCTTCCTTCTGGGAACTGTCACTTTTATTTCCTGTAAACAGATATCACTTTTTTTTTTTTCTTTCCCTCTAAATTTTCTTCCGAGAGACAAAAGTGCTGAAATAAGGGATACGGCGCCCATGACTCACCATCGAACATCGAACGAATCCCTGAGCTCGTCCCGCTTTCCAAATCAGCGCCCTTTTGGAAATGACAAGTTTCGAGGGTTTGAGCGTGTTTGTTGAACTTTTAGCAGCGCGCTCGACAGGAATGTCAAAACGTTCCACCTGGTAACCGCGACTTCGTCAACAAACACTGCTCTGTTTACTCGTCTTGTTGATGTTTTACAAATCAGACCACTTCCGAAATATACGCTAAGGTCGTTAAATATTTTTTTTTTTTTTTTTTTTTTTTAGAAAGTGCCTTTACGTTTTAAATAAACTTCAGCTGGCTGCGCTCACACACTTGGCACATTTATTATATAAATATACGGCGTGTTTTGTTTTCTGTTTTACAGACCCGTTCCCCAAACGGAACACCTTTATCTGAGATAGGGTAATCGGGGGGGGGGACAGAAAGTTAAAGCTGAACTCCGGGCACAAAAATGTTCATTTAACCCTTCCGCGGTTGATGCTGTTGTTGCATTTCTTGCACACGTGTTTTTTTAAAAAAATATTTTAGTCCTGAAGATTAGTTGAAAACCCCCAAAGAGTATTTTCTGAAAGCACCGTAGAGTGGTTGTTCCAATGTTTCCTATCACACCATATTGGCGCAACGGTTTGTGAAATGCAAAATTTCAGAAAATAAAATTATTATTATTATTATTATTATTCAGTATTTATAAAGCGCCAATAGTTCGCTCAGCGCTGTACATTACAAAGGGGGACAGAACATGTGACAGAACAATACCAATACAATGCAAAACATGAGGGGATCGAGGGCCTGCTCTTTCAAGCTTACAATCTAGGAGGGAGGGGATGGTGGCACAGGAGGAGATAGCTGTGGGGGATGGAGTGGTAGGAAGAGTGGAGGAGGTCGGCAAGTTAGCAGGGGGCGGGGTAGGCTTCCCTGAAGAGATGGGTTTTTCAGGGTGCGCCTAAAGGAGAGGAGAGTAGTAGGTGATAATCTGATGGGTTGGGGCAGGGAGTTCCAGAGGATGGGTGACACCCTGGAGAAGTCCTGGAGGCGGGCATGGGAGGAGGAGACCAGGGAACTAGAGAGAAGGAGGTCTTGTGAGGAGCGGAGTGTGCGTGTTGGGCGGTACTACTTGGATATTAGGTCAGTGATGTAGTTCGGGGCAGTATGGTGGACAGCTTTGTACGTCAGTGTTAGGATTTTGAATTTGATCCGTTGCGCAATCGGAAGCCAGTGGAGGGATTGGCAGAGGGGTGGCGGAAACGGAGCGGTTGGAAAGGTCTGGCAGCCGTATTCAGGATGGACTGAAGCGGGGATAGCCAGCGGCGAGGGCAGGCCAGTGAGGAGGGAGTTGCAGTAGTCGAGTCGCGATATGATGAGGGAGTGGATGAGCTGTTTAGTGGTTTCTGGAGTTAGGAACGTGCGGATTTTGGCGATGTTGCGGAGGTGGAGTCTGCATGTTGCGGAGGTGGAGTCTGCATGAGTTTGTTAAAGAGTGGACTTGGGGCTGGAAGGATAGGTTGGAGTCCAAAATGACACCAAGTACTCTGGCCTGCTGCGGGGCGGGTTTTTGATGGTGGCGTTGTTGGACATGATGGAGAAGTCAATGGGGGGTGGTGTCCGGGCTGGAGGGAAGACAAGAAACTCGGTTTTGGAGAGGTTCAGTTTAAGGAAGTGGAGCGACATCCAGTCTGATATGTCGCTCAACAGGTGTGTGATTCGGGCGGAGACCGAGGGGGTGAGGTGGGGGGTTTGAGAGATAGATTTGTGTGTCGTCGGCATAGAGGTGGTAGTTGAAGCCGTGAGAGTGTATGAGTTGGCCAAGGGAGGAGGTGTAGATGGAGAAGAGAAGGGGCCCGAGGACAGAGCCTTGGGGGACCCCAACAGAGAGGGGGAGTGAGAGGGGAGGTGGTGGCATTATAGGTAACGCTGAAAGAGCGTTGTGACAGGTAGGATGAGAGCCAGGAGAGAGCAGAATCTCTGAGGCCGAGGGAGTGTAGTTTTTTGAGGAGGAGGGGGTGGTCGACTGTGTCAAAGGCCGCAGAGAGGTCAAGGAGTAGGAGCACTGAATAGTGGCCATTAGCTTTGGCGGTTAGCAGGTCGTTGGAGAGTTTGAGTAAGGCAGTTTCGGTGGAGTGTAGGGGACGGAAGCCGGACTGTAGGGGATCGAGGAGGTTGTTGTCGTTGAGGTGAGAGCATAGGCGGGCGTAGACTAGGCGCTCGAGGAGTTTAGATGTAAATGGGAGCAGGGAGATGGGTCTGAGGTTGTTCGGGTCATTGGGGTCCAGGGAGGGCTTTTTTTTAAGTATGGGGGTGATGTGTGCATGTTTCAGAGGGGAAGGGAAAGTGCCGGAGGAGAGGGAGAGATTGAAGATGTGGGTGAGGGAGCGTAGGATGGAGGGGGAGGGAGGTTGTAGGAGTTGTGTGGGGATAGGGTCAAGGGGGCAGGTGGTGAGGCGGGCATCAGAGAGGATCTTGGAGACTTCTTCGATGGTAGTAAGGTCAAAGGTGCGGAGTGTTGGGGGGGGCTTCAGTATGAGGAATGTAGGGTGGGGTGGGAGAGGAGGTCAGAGCAGTGGTGGGGCCGTGGGAGAGGGGTGTAGAGGGGGTAGCTGAGTGAGGGGGAAGGGGGTTGGAGGGAGTTTGAGCAGCGACGAAGTCCCTGTGGGTTATGTCGAGGGGGAGGGGGGATGAGGGGGTAGCTGTGTGAGAGGGGACGGGTTGAGAAGGCGTGTGAGTTGCGGCAATGTCCTTGCGAATTGTGTCAATCTTGTTTTTGAAGTGATTGGCAATCTCAAGGGCAGTGAGTGAGGTGCTGGGTGGAGGTGGGGGTGGCGAGAGTAGAGAGTTGAAGGTGGAGAAGAGTCGGCGAGGATTGGAGGAGAGGGCCTTGATGAGGGTCAGGAAGTAGGCTTGTTTGGCAGTATGGAGGAAGGAGGTGTAGGTGTGGAAGGCAGATTTGTATCGGGTGAAGGCTTGTTGGGATTTGGTTTTGCGCCATAGTCGCTCCAGGGCACGACTGTGTCGTTTGAGGGTTTTGGTGTGATCAGTCTGCCAGGGCTGGAGCGGTCGGGGTCTGATGTTGCGTGTGGTTAAAGGCGCTAGTGAGTCAAGGGCTGTTGACAGCGCATTGTTGTAGGCGGTCATAGCCAAGTCGGGGCAGGACAGGGGGAGGATGCGGTCATGGAGTTGATCAACTGCGGAGTGGAGGGAGGCAGGGTTAAGGTTGCGGAGGTTACGGCTGGTAGTAGTGTGACATTTGGAAGGGTAGGCATTGGAGGATGAGGAGATAGAGAAAGTAATCAGGTTGTGGTCAGAGAGAGGGAAGGGGGTGTTAGTGAGGTTGTGGGGAGCGCAGCGGTTGGAGAAGACAAGATCAAGGATATTACCATTACAATGCAAAATTTCAGAAAATAAAATACACTAGAGATAAATTTTAGTGCAAATATAAAAGGTGAGGTTACGTCGAGTAAATAAATACCCAGCAAGCCGAGCCTTAGAATTGCATGGGCCCATGAAACGGTGACAGACTTTGGTACCCTATAGTTTCCATAGGTGGCGCTGTAAAAGCCCCTACAGGTCATCCATTTAGAGCTTAAGCGTTACTGAACCCCAGACCCTGCATTCACTATATCCGGTCTCCCCGGACCCCGCATTCACTATATCCGGTCTCCCCGGACCCCGCATTCACTATATCCGCTCTCCCCAGACCCTGCATTCACTATATCCGCTCTCCCCGGACCCTGCATTCACTATATCCGCTCTCCCCCAGACCCTGCATTCACTATATCCGGTCTCCCCGGACCCCGCATTCACTATATCCGCTCTCCCCGGACCCCGCATTCACTATATCCGGTCTCCCCGGACCCTGCATTCACTATATCCGCTCTCCCCAGACCCCGTATTCACTATATCTGCTCTCCCCAGACCCCGCATTCACTATATCCGCTCTCCCCGGACCCCGCATTCACTATATACGGTCTCCCCGGACCCTGCATTCACTATATCCGGTCTCCCTGGACCCCGCATTCACTATATCCCGCTCTCCCCGGACCCCGCATTCACTATATCCGCTCTCCCCGGACCCCGCATTCACTATATCCGCTCTCCCCCCGGACCCCGCATTCACTATATCCGCTCTCCCCCGGACCCCGCATTCACTATATCCGCTCTCTCCCCGGACCCCGCATTCACTATACCCGCTCTCCCCGGACCCCGCATTCACTATATCCGCTCTCCCCCGGACCCCGCATTCACTATATCCGCTCTCCCCGGACCCCGCATTCACCATATCTGCTCTCCCCGGACCCTGCATTCACCATATCCGCTCTCCCCGGACCCCGCATTCACTATATCCGCTCTCCCCGGACCCCGCATTCACTATATCCGCTCTCCCCGGACCCCGCATTCACTATATCTGCTCTCCCCGGACCCTGCATTCACCATATCCGCTCTCCCCGGACCCCGCATTCACTATATCCGGTCCCCCCGGACCCTGCATTCACTGTATCCGCTCTCCCCAGACCCTGTATTCACTATATCCGCTCTCCCCGGACCCTGCATTCACTATATCTGCTCTCCCTGGACCCTGCATTCACTATATCCGGTCCCCCCGGACCCCGCATTCACTATATCCGCTCTCCCCCACCCGGACCCCGCATTCACTATAACCGGTCCCCCCGGACCCTGCATTCACTGTATCCGCTCTCCCCGGACCCTGTATTCACTATATCCGCTCTCTCCGGACCCTGCATTCACTATATCCGCTCTCCCCGGACCCTGCATTCACTGTATCCGCTCTCCCCGGACCCTGCATTCACTATATCCGCTCTCCCCGGACCCCGCATTCACTATATCCGCTCTCCCCGGACCCCGCATTCACTATATCCGCTCTCCCCCGGACCCTGCATTCACTATATCTGCTCTCCCTGGACCCTGCATTCACTATATCCGCTCTCCCCGGACCCCGCATTCACTATATCCGGTCTCCCAACTTTTTCAGCAGCTTTGCTTGTGGAGTATCTTTTTTTTAAAAAAAAAAAGTAATTCCCCATTCACAAGTCTGTTAGGAAGTCACATCCATTTTTTCCCAATCCTGTTTTTCATCTCTTCCGAAACCCAGGCTAAAAAAAAATAGGCACATGAAGTGTTAACAAGAGGCAGCTTTGGCTGCAGTTCTTATCTTCAATCCAGAGCTGTCCCCGCAGTACCTCTTTTTTGCCACTATATGTCTTCAGTCTGCCAGGTTCAATGAGGTATGAACAGGAGCCAGGCGCTGTGTAGTTTTGTGATAAAAGTAAAACACCTTATATGGAGGTGTGCCTTTAATAATTCATATGGTAAAAAATAAATAACCAGCCTGTGGCTTTAAGAAGCCAGGTCCCAAGATGGACGGCCCGTCTGCTCAGAGGGAAGCAGTGGAGTAGAATGCCTGTCAGTGCAGGGACCACGTGTATCCGACGTCCCAGTGTCCTGGATGACGTCACCACGATGTGGAGAGACGGAGGGGGGGGAACTCTTGCTGGAGCCGCAGCTTTAGAAGGAAGAGGCCGGTTGCTGGGAGAACATGTTTCGCGCACAGGTTCAATGAGGCCCAGTCATGCAGATACTATGAGAGCAGGGAGTCATAGCCCCACCCCCCGTATCAACACCGCACCCTTCACAGCGAAACGGTGCAGGAAGCATCAGCTCTTCATCTGGAAGGTCTGCTCAGCCTGGTTAAGAGGAAAAGTGAAATTGGAGCCTGTGGCTTTACATGGGTGTCTTGACGACTTTAAAAAAGGTAAGTCTTAAAACAGAGAAAGCATAAAAGATAGCCAAGATGGAGGGGGTCCTTCCATGTAGGTATAGTCGGGTGAGGATGAATAAAATTTCTATTAATTTCATCCAAGGAGTACACGTGTTCCAAACAGAGCCAACACTAACACGTTTCACCATATCAAGGCCTTTCTCATAGTAGGGGGTGTCCGGAGGTAGACCAAAGAAGAGATTTGTGAAAAGAGATTCACAGGAAAGCGGCTACATAATGGACAGAATGCGATACTCAGAAAAATTTCCAAAAATTATGCTTTATTACACATTAATGATTGACACTCGGGCAATCGCCCTGGTTTACCATCACCCCAGTATGAGACAATACACACAGACCTAAAACCATAAAATCACACCAAGACCGTTCTGGGTATATATGTGCTGCAAAGGCTATGACCACCATAGTCTAAAGCATTTGCAGCACCTGCCCATTGGTTACACTCCCTGTAGGAGGTATTTTCAAAAAATTATACCATAGGTATATAATATCACATGCTATGCAAATAAGCACATATAGTTACCACATTGGTTACACTCCCTGAAGGAGGTGTTTTCAAAAATTGTACCATGGGTGTATAATATCACATGCAAGCATAAAGACAAATACAGTTACCGTCTGGAGAGAAGCATAACCCTAATCCTATATAAGGCAATGTGGGTAAAAAATTGAATGAAAAAAAGTGGGGGGGGTGAACCCCAATGATAGCAATAATGGGGGGGGGTGAACCCCAATGATATAATAATGGATTCATGCAGTACAACCCTAAAGAAGCACATGTGGTTGGGGCCCATCTATCTGTAATATACTCTGCAAATAATTGCAAAGATTCATATAGATGAAAGAGTCCCTGTTGGTGTCTTGATGGAGAAATGGATGTAAATAGCAGAGGCCTGCTTTATATGGTTTCTTCACCACAACAGGTGGACTGCAAACCACCTTAATATTTGAAATAAGATGAGGCCCAGTAGGTCTTCCGCCTGTTGCAATATATATAGTATGCCTTGCATCTAGATGAAACCTCATCATGTCCCCATCCTGTAATAAGACAAACGATATAGGAATAGTCACTCTGGGTACTCTCACTCTAATGTATATATATAATATAAGGAGCAAGGAGTCTTCTTCGTTAGTCCTGTAACAGTCCACTCACCACCTGTGCAATGGGTAGTAGAAAATAAAGATATCCTTCATAGGTACTGCCGTGTTGATCCAGGGAACCACCGCTTACATCAGCCGACATTTCGTGGGTTCCAACCTCTCCATGGCGCCTGTACAGCCTTTGCATGACTCATGGCATGTGAAGATGGCTGCCTCCTTGTAGGTCGGCGTGCATATCGCCAATGCGCATGACCGGAAGTGACGTATCTGCCATATGATGTCAACGCGTTTCGCCGATGGGTGTATCTCACTCAGCTTCGTCAGGGTTCCCCGCTAACAGCTGAATGTAAAAAGAATTTCTGGCATTGCCCGGCAATTAAAAATTAAAAAAAAAAGGTCCCCCCCATTCATACCAAGTGCTTCAGGTCTGGTATGGATTTTGAGGGGAACCCCCATGTCAAATTTTTTTTAAAAATGGCGTGGGGTCCCCCCAAAATCTACACCAGACCCTTATCCGAGCATGCAGCCCAGCAGGAAAGGAAAGGGGGGGACGAGTTATCGCCTCCCCCCCAAACCATGCCAGGCCACATGCCCTTAACATGGGGGGGGGCTCCCCCCCCAAAGAATCTTATCCCCATGTTGATTTGGGCAAGGGTCTCTTCCCTACAACCGTGACCACAGGTTGTGGGTGTCTGCGGGCACAGGCTTTATCGGAATCTGAAAGTCCCCTTTAACAAGGGGGTCCCAGATCCCACCCCCCCCCCCCATGTGAATGAGTATGGGGTACATGGTACCGCTACCCGTTCACAAAAAAAAAGTGTAGTGTAAAAATGACAGGAGACAAAAAATTTAAAAAATGTCCCCTGAAGTAGATCCAACTTCAATCACAATGCCTGTCGCCACCGCAACAAAAATACCCCACTCCACTCTCAACACTGGCTCCCGCCGTCTGATAGCTGTGCCGGGTGACAGTTCTTAAATACTGTGATGACGTCACAAGGGGGCGGGGTGACCCCTGCCTCCTTGTGACGTCATCATGCGTTGTGATTGGCCAAAGCATTGCACCTGTCAGGTGAATTGCTTTGGCCAACCACAATGCACTGTCAGGGCGCAGTGCATTGTGGTGGACACGGCGGGTGAACAGCCCACCAAATTCCCTTCCCGTTCATGTGTGTGCTAAACAAATGAACGGCCCATGTTCAAGGCGAACTTATGTTCGACTCGATCATGAAGTCCAACCCTAGAAACAAGACACAAGGCAAGGTCATCTAATGAATCAGAAAGAGAGCTGTCCAGCATCTCAGGTGGCTCAGCAAGAAGAGATACTGCCAGACACAGCAGAGGTTGCAGGTTCAGATCCGGATCTTGACAATGGGACACTTGATGAAGGATTCTAAGAGCACTATGGGTTTTTCAAAGTAAGAGCACAACACAAGCTGCTTCCTTTCAGACAGACTGTCTCTGATCAAAATTTCAGACAGAGCTGTATGGGTTGGACTATCTATAGGCAGGCTTCTTACAGCAGAAGGTAAACAAAAACTGGCAGAACATTGGTGACATGACACCATTGCATGGTACTACACATGTCCTTCAACATGGAAGACTGAGGACATCTAATGGCAGGAAGGTGTTACTGCTAGGGGACAGAACCAGAGATAGGGGCAGTATGGCAGCCATGGCTACTTTACTTAAATCCCTACTACTATTAAGCAATATAAAGTCTTGGTTTAGTAATTTAATGAAGGAGAAAAAAACCCTGCTTAGCAGTCAGTAAGAAATAGAAGAAAAAAAAAAGTTTGGCAACGCTTACATCAATATTTTCAGAACAGAAAAAAAAAAGTATGAATCAGCAATAATGTTTTCTAAAATATTTGAAATGTATATAGCTCCCCTGGAGTGTTTTTTCATCAAAAGTGGAATTTCACTTAAAGTGAGTTTGTTGGTTAAAACAAATAATGAAATAAAGCGCCCCCCCTGCATAAAAGGTTAAATTAATACTCATCTCTGCCGTTGCCTGCGCTGCTAATTATCTTCGCATTGCGGAGAAACCTTCACTTGAAAAGTCTATGGAATCCAACATTTCTAGGATTGTCAGATCCCTGGTCTCCTGTGGTGTTCCTCCCGCTGAGCCCTATTTTAGTCTAAGACCGTCACCGTACCTCTAGGGTTCCTGTCTGTACAAGCATGTGGAGCATGTGGAGCATGTGGAGCATGTGGAGCATGTTGGCACACCTGTGTTAGCATGCATTGCCTGGCATCACCGGTGCTTGACATGCCCTCAGGCCTTGGAGGGTTTTGGACACCTTCATCTTGTGTGTTAAAATTGCTGTTATTCCTGATTCATCTACTACTGACCGGACTGCCCGACCCTTCTTGTGTTTTTGCCGCCATTGCTGACTCTGCCTGTTCTTGATACTTTCTTGCCTGTCATCTGCCTCAACCTTTGCCTGGCCACCTATGACTTTCCTACCTGTTCGCTGCCTCAACCTATGCCTGGGTGTTGACTACACTCTTGCCTGCCAGCTGGCTCAACCATTGCCTGAAAACCTACTACTCTCTTAAGTGCCACCTGCTTTAACCTTTGCCTGGGCACTAACTACACTGTTGCTTGCTCCTGTCTCAACTTTTTCCTGGAGACAGTCTACACTCTTTCCTGCTGCAACCTTCACTTGGGCACCTACTAATCTCTTGATAGACACCTGTTTCAACATTTACCAGGAGATCAACCACACTCTTGTCTGCCTCTTGCCTCAACCTTTGCCTGGGCACCTACTACTCCCTTGCCTGCCACCTGTCTCAACCTTTGCCTAGGCACCGACTATACTCTTACCTGTCACCTGCCTCAACCTTTGCCTAGGCACCTACTACTCTTTTGTCTACTACCTGTTTAAAAATTGTCCTGGCACCTACAACTCTCTTGCCTGCCACCTGCTTTAACCTTTGCCTGGGCACTGCCTACTCTCTTGCCTGCTTCCTGCTACAACCTGTGCCTGGAAACCTTCTGCCTGCTACC